ACTAAAGTACTATGCTCAGGTTTTTCAGTGGCAGAATTGAATGTGCACCCAAACACTGTTAACATAAAATAGGCATTTTTCACATTACACCCTCTTCTGTGTAAGGTCCATTAGCCTCTCGAAAGTGATGGGTGCATTACACATGCCAAATGACGATATGAAACATATTTAAACCATCTCAAGTGCCGAAAACAGTCTTAGGTCAACTCTTATTATGTAGCTTGATTTACCAGTATCTGGACGCTAGTTCTGAAGTGCTGAACCACTGGGCATCTTACAGTGTATCTTGACATTAAGCTGGCTGTAAGAGTGACGAGGCATCGATGAGTGTCATCGTATTCATCCATCTGAAATCAACACAGAACCTTGGCATACCTTCCCTCATACTGACAACCACTACTAGAGATGCTTATACACTCTGTAATGGTTATATGATTATATCCTCTACATACACTGTACCTCAGTGCTGGCTACATTCCTAGTGCTCCAGGCAAGCTTGAACAGCAGTTGTTTAATCTGAGTTTTATATGACGTGCATTGCCTGTATCTCTGTGAAGACAAGTTACACTTGTTCGACCATCTTATCTACAAATACATTGGCATATAATCAACGAGTCTGAGAATAAGAACTCCAAACTACAAGAATAAGAGTAGGCTTCATATAGTGGTGGAGTGTATATTATATTTATGTTGTTTTAATATATCTTTTACTCACCACAGTGATTCTATATTTATATAGACTTTAAAGAATATGCATCATTTACGTTGCTAATTCTTCTGAATTATTTAGCCAACAAAATACTTAAGAATGTGAAGCCAATCTATCATTCGATTTAATATTTGTCACCGAGTTATATCAATTTCAGGGAATTCTACCCCTCACCATTCACCCTGGACAAGAACAATATAGAAACACAGTAGTGAGTAAAATACACCTTATACTTAAATTGTAGATGCCACAGACACTGGTGTAGGTCACCTCCCAAGAGTAGGGTTGCTTGAGAGTGCAGCCCTAAGAGGATGGTTAACTACTATGACAGGAGATTTATGGAAGATCAAGAAAGTTAGGTAAACTGACATTAGGAAACCTAAAAGGGTATATGTAATAAAGGTTGGCTGAAAATGTAACTATTAACAGTAAAGATTTTTTAAATACGTTAAGAATAAGCAGAATATTGAGATGAGAGTAGGGCATCTGAGGTATGATAAATGAAAGCTAATTTCTGATAAGTATGAGATAGCAGGTTTATTAAATATTACTTTTCTTCTTTTTACTCTCTTGGCATTTTGGTTGAACAATGCCTTAAGCAATCCAAGCAATGTGCTCTTGCTAGTGGTAGAGCAAATAGGATTTTAAGTTGTATCTACAGAAATATTGAAAACAAGATATTTCATTTTATTAGTCACTGGCTAGACCACCTGTGTTGTGCTCAGTCTTGAGCTCCTTGCAATAGAAATGACAATGAATTGTTGGAAAGAGATCAGAAAAGAACTATTAAAATCATACTTGAGATGGAAAAGTTCTCATAAGAAAACAATTCATTATACCTGAAACTGATTTGCTTTGAAAAAGAAGAGTTAGAGGGGATCTGATTGAGGTATTTAAGACTGTTAAAAGAGGTGACAGTGTCAATATATAATCTTTTTTCGTACTTAATGGTGAAAATAATAGGAGTAGGAAACACAAATATAAATTTTGGCAGGGTAGCAATCATCTTCAGCTATGACAGCTTTATTTCTTAAACAGGGTGGATAGCTTTTGGAATAGATTGCCTTCAGATGTGATGGATGCAGTCAGTTTAAGGGAGTTAATTGGAGGACATGATAAATATTTGCATTATAAGAGCTGGCTTTGAATTTTTTGAAGATTTAGTTCATTTCTGAAATTGAAAAAGTCGAGATGAACCAACACATCCCTTGTTATTCTTAGACTTTATGTTTTCCTAAAACACCATACGTATAATACACACTCCACCATTTTATGAAGCCCAATCTTATTCTTCAGATTTGCCTTTGTCCAGCCAGTGGGGTTGTGTTGCAACACCAGTATGTTTCAGCTGCTAGTTTGCCTTTGGCAAAGCATGAGGCTGGTGGGCAGCACTCACTTCCAGTTTGGCTGAGGTATAGCTACTGCAGGAGGCTTCTTCCTCTCGAGATTTAAACAAGATTTGAATTTATCACTGCACAAACTGCCTCTGTTAGGGTAAGAAGGTCTCTGACACCTAAGTGATGCATCATCACATCACTGGGTAGTCTCTTTAACTAGTGCATTAGGATATTCTTGTAATCTACTACAGCCATTGCAGTGTATAACTATTACCATGAAAATAGCACAGATTGGCAAGACCCCTTTTTGGAGTTGGAACTTGACTCAATAAATAGTTTGGTATTCCACTGGGTCAAAAAGAACATCAACAATAACAGTCAACCCATAAGTGGGATTACACCTGTTTTTAACTCATAAATCATGCATCATGAAATTATGCATTTCACATCATAATAATTAATATCTATTAAGAACAAATAAAAACAGTCTACCCGAAGAAGGTACTGGAAATGAAAGCAATAGTAGAAGTCTGAGAATGACGTTTCAGTGATTACGACTAATACTGACATATTGTCTCATTCAAATAACTACCATGTAGCTTAAAAAGTTATATAAATAGATAAAAGTTTCTACCATCTCTAAGTTAATAGGAATGGATAAAATTATGAATCACTTCTGAATATAAAATCAATCTCCTGCCACATGTACATGCAGAAGGTAAATAATTTTTTTAATAGGTATTAGAGTAAGCCTGAGAGTAATATTGCAGCTACATCAAAGAATCTGAAGAATGTTATGGAAGTAGGTGAAATACTGGATTAAGTTCTAATGACATCATATACATGATATTTAAAGAAATTAATGGAATTATATGAAGTAAGGGGAAAATGGAAAAATGAAGTTCCAGTTTTGCACATATACCTAAAGAAGGTAATGGAAGTGAGTTTAATGTTTGAGCAAGTGTGAGGGTGATCTTACAGGTACATCATGCAGTATGGATGTCAAAAGTAAAGCATTTGATGAAGTGTAAGAAAAAATCTCTATTCTACACTGCATATGTATATTGAGTGAAGCTTAGTAATGATGACAGTGTAGTAGAAGCAATGATTTGTAACATTCACGTTCATAAGAAATAAGCAGATGACACAAGACAATCAAGCTCATCATAAACCTACCAAACAAACAAAACAACAACAAAAAAAAGAAAGGTAGCCTTATCCTTTGTAAATTAGTTCACCTGAACTTGTAAAGAATACTAATAACAATCCTTCTTTTATCAATTAACTGGCCGTTTCTCAAATTACCACCTTAAGGGGAAAAATACTTTTGTCTCAGAACAATCCTAAATGAGAGCTTTTCAGTCATGTAAAAGTGGCTGTAGCTTTTCAGAAATCAATCAGTTTGCTTAAAGTCAGATTACTTATAACAACTTTAAATGTTGAAATCTAGCTTCGTAACTAGGAAAAAATGGCTTTACGTTTTTGAGGCTTTTGAGATAAACTAAAATATGATCAAATGTAAATTAAAATTTGATCCTTCCTACAAATAAATAAATTTCTCAGTGAAGGAATTTCTTCTTTCCCATTACTCATAAAAACACTACAGAAAACTATTTCATAAATCATCAGTATTATATTAAGAACCCACTAATATTATTTAAAAGTACTTGGACTTCTTTATCTGTCACTTTACTGCATTTGACCCATTCTAATCAAAACTTATTTTCTTAGTCAACAGCTTTCTACAGTACTTCTAAGTTTTAATTATGGTTAACTTCATTTTTGTTTTTCACATATTTCTGATAAATAATTCAACAAGAAAGAACAAGAAAGTATATCTCAGTGAACATCTTTAAAATTCGAGCAACTTATTACTGTTTCAACTCCTAGTAACAATCAATTGTTTTATAATAATTAGATCCAGTGGCCTATCGTAAGTTTACAAATAAGCAAACTTATACCCAGACACACTTAATAGAACCATCCACATGTTTAATATCCTAACAGAATCAAATGTTTTCTACAAACTTCAAATTTTCACCTTTTCTTGTTTTGAGCATGTTACTTACCTAGGCAAAGAAAAAAAGTGATGACTTGGTGTACTTAGATTTGTAAAAGCTTCTGATAAGGTGCCAAATAAGAGATTAGTTAGGAATATTACTTTAGGGGTTGGAGAAATCCTAGTTAATTGGACTATACGGTGGTATGGGAAAAAGCAAAAAATTGTTGTTATTAATGAAGCCCTGTCAAATTGGATCCTTGTCATTAGAAGTGTGTTTCAAGGATAAGTGCTTTGGCCTTTGCTCTTTCTTATTTACATTAAAGATACTGATAGAGGCATAATTAGTAAAGTTTACTGATGACATTAAACTCTTCGATATTTCTAGTGGTATTAAGAATGTTGGTGTATTACAGAATAAATTAGATCAATTGATAATCAAGTTAGACAAATATTTCACAAAGGCATTATCTTTAATTATAGTAAGTTCAAGGTTGTGCATTTTGGTTATCATAATTTGTATTGCAAGTTTAAAAAGATGGGAACCCACTCAATATTAAAAGGATCTTGGCATAGTATTAGTAGTGGAAAAGTCACTCAAACCCATATAAGCAGTGCTCTGTTACTACTAGTTGTAAAGCTAACAGAGTTTTATTGTGGACTTGTATACATATTAATCATAAATCAAAAGAGATTATTATTTCTCTATACAGATCACTAATTAGGCCTCACTTGGAATACTGTATACAATTTTGTTATTATCCAAGAAAAGAAACTGACATATTGGAAAATAGTTCAATGAAGACAATCTTAGTTATCTTAAGAAGAGTAAAAAGTGATATTATTGAAGTTTACAAAATTATCCAGGGGCTCAAAAGGATAAAGGCCTCTTATTCTTTCTACTATATTCTGGAAATAAGACAAGCAGGCACAAGCTTAAAAAAAGACAATTAGGTAAGTCTCCAAATAAATTTTATTTTCTACTTTACATGAATTTAAGAGGGTTAATCAATTATCTGAAAAATAGTGACTTTAAATTTTTACTTTTCGCAAGGGTAGTTGTGCAAAGCGTAGTTTCGAAAGGCCAAGTGGTCTCTTGTTTTTTAATTTTATTATTAAAAATTAGATAAATAAACAAACAATGATTTTCAATTTTCACAGTTATGTTTCCTTCCTGTATTATCAGTTAGAAATCACACAAGTCTTCTAAGTATTTCATTTTGTAAATGGTAACAATAACCATTCTTATTGTTTCTTCCGAGTCTAAAAACTTATTTTTATAACCTGTTATTGTTTTCGTATTTTTTGCATATAATATTCTAAAATTGTAAGAGTGAGATGGAAAATTAAAGTAATAACATACTATTCTATTAACTGATTGAACACTTTCTTAAAAAGACAAAAATAAAAGAACACTCAAATTTTAAGAAGTAAAAGACAATGATGAACTACATAAAATCATTTTAGGATTTTTGCCCCATACACTTGTAATATATTTACTACTTCAATGACCAGTATTACTTACTCTTCATAATAAGGTATGTAATTATTTCAAAATGTTTTATGGACATACCTCTACCTATTTATAACGTAATACTAATACTGAGTTTTTCATTACACTAGGTTAGAGTTAGATTATCTTAATATATATCTTAAAGACTTCCAAGTTCCACTAAACACAGTAAGTGCATATTTAAACTAATGATACATTTTAAGTGAATATAATATTTCACTGTTGTAAAATAATACTGTTTTCAAATTCAGTGTTGTGTAATTTCCATTTCTTATCTGCATAGGAAGATAATTTTTTTTGTGAAATATTTGAAATAACATGGCAATATATTAAGTTAATAAGTAATGTGAAAAACTGGTGTTACTTTTTGTTTCAAAATATTATGTATATTGAAATATCACTACTGATTTTTATATAACGGTAATTAATCCAGTTGTGGGTTTATACATGTATAACAACTAAGCTACATGGCAAAATTCTTTATTCATTTCAACTTGTTGCAATGTGTATAAGCAAACAAGACTTAATTATTAATTATCTAAATTAGGTACAGTTCTTAAAATATCTGAAATGCAAACAGTTTCTAAGTTTATATCTTTAACTATCACCTTCTTTGACTTCAAGTAACATAGTTGCAAGGATCGTAACTTCAAGAATACTGTTTATAATAGATCAATTTACATGATATATTTGAAGAAAATTGTCATGGAGAAACTTGTAACAAAAAATTCAAACATATACCAGTTCATCATTTAATTTAATTATCAATCAACCATTAACAGTGCCTTTATACTTACATCTAGTATTTTTACGCATATGGGAACTTCTACAAAATTACAACAGTACAAGTTACTAACACAGATTACAAGGCTTAATTTGTGGGTTCTCCTGTTGGATACTGTTGAATAATGTTTTTTATTTAAAACATATAACCAAAACTTAGATAGTTTCCAATCAGAAGAACCGAATGAAAAGGAAAAGAAAATGTTTGATTTTCTACCTATTCTGGTAGTGGTAAGAAGTAACAAGTGTTAATGTTTTGCCACAAACTGACACAGGCTCACAATGTTACATCGCATACTTTCTTGTCCATTCTCGTGCAAGTTCGCTGTACTTATCTTGATCAGTCTTGAAGATTCTAGCTATTTCTGGCACCAAAGGATCATCTGGATTAGGATCACACAATAGTGAACAAACTGACAAAAGAACTTTTGATATTGTTAAGGCTGGTGACCACTGAGACCTCAAAATATCAAGACAAATACTACCATTACTATTGATGTTTGGATGATAAATTCTCGTCGTGAATGCAACTTTTGGTGGCTTGAATGGATAATCTGTTGGAAAATGAATAGTCAAGAAAAACACTCCTCCCTGATACGAGCTTTCAGGTGGTCCAAGAATCGTGGCTTGCCAGTGAAACAGATCATCACCAACCGGGCCTGCAGAGCATTGAGCTGGTGGGTCTCTTCTCAAATCATCTAGCTCTTTCTTTATCCTTTTCAGTGCCATTTTATGGGAATATTAACAGAATAATAAGAGAAAGCAGTAAGTGATTCTAAACTTTATGTTTGCTCTTTAAATTGCATGGCACAGAGATAAATTAATCTACTGGACAACAATCACAGACCTATTAAAACAGACAAAAGGTTAGTACGCGCTTTGCAGTGGAGAAACAACCGCCCTCTCGAAATTTATATTTAATTTACAAAATAATAATAATAATAATAACCATTAACAAAGTCTTTGTTTTAAGTCTTTAACATAAGTTTAATAGTTAAATTTGACTAACTGCCCCTAGGTCTACTTTACCATCCTTATAATGGAATGAGATTGGGAGAAGCATAATCATTATATTACTAAAACTTGTAATTAAATTAAACTTTTGGGTATTTCAAGCTGTATTGCGAATTTGAGTCATTACAGAATAACTTGTTGGCCAAATATATGGCAAATGATGTTTATTATAGTAATTGCATGAGAATGGATTTAGATTAACCACACCTTGTCTCCTGGTACAAAGCTGACTTCAGTAGATCTCTTATCATAACATAACTTCAAATCAGCA